CACACAAGTCGATCGTATGAAGACTAGTAAAAGAGTTGTTAGAAACACACAAGTTGATCGTATGAAGACTAGTAAAAGAGTTGTTAGAAACACACAAGTTGATCGTATAAAGACTAGTAACGAGCTGTTAGAAACACACAAGTCGATCATATAAAGACTAGTAAAGAGTTTTGCTTCTAACAACTCTTTACTAGTCTTTATATGATCGACTTGTGTGTTTCTAACAACTCTTTACTAGTTGTTACATGATCAACTTGTGTGTTTCTAACCATAAGCTATAGTTGTTCAAAAGTAAAACAATAATTTAGGTATTCATTACATAAGCCGTGATTACCCAGAAGTAAGACAACGTTTTAATTAATCACTACATAAGCCATACTTTTCCAGAAATAAAACAGTATTTTAGATATTCATTACGTAAGCCATAATTACCAGAAGTAAAACAATATTTTTATATATCTATTACATAAGCCATAGTTGTAAAACAGAAGTAAAACAATATGTTTAGTCATTTTTCATCAGACACGGAACGTTTGTCCAGAAGTAAAACAATATTTTTATTTATTCATTACATGAACCATAGTTGTTGAAAAATTAAAATAATGTTCTCATTATTTATTATATAGATCATATATGTACAGAACTGAAGCAATATTTATTTAGTTATTTGTTACGAAAACCATAGTTTTCTAGAAAAAAAGCAATACTTTATTAATTGAGACCATACATGTTCTGAAATATTTCTTTAGTTATTTACTATATAAGTTATAGTTGCCCAGATATAAAAATAATATTTTTTTACTTATTCAATACACAGCCTAGAGATAACGGTATTCTGGCTAACTCATAATCTTTCTTGAATTATGATAATACTCTATCGCCAGAATCTGAGGTATGCTCATTAACACAGAAAAATAACTTTTTATTCTACATTATATTCTATTTTATTCACAAGCTTACAGGCAATTCCAATAAACGTCTTCAGGTATGTCAATTTACAATGTAAATGACAAGCACCTATGATTTTTTAAAGCTAAGTCACAAAGTTAGCGTGCCGGGCTGTGGATCGAAAGGTACAAAGGTACGTGAAATGCCGCTGAACACACTGAGAATTTTCAACTACTGGAACAGTATAATAGAGACAGTAAATCACTCTATTCGGTTAAGAGTACCCGTGAATATTGTGGGTTCTGCTGACTGGTTTCGTCTTTCCTGATTAGCTTTGAAGATTAAGGATGGTTAAACTTAAACCTTGGGGACTCTGACCTGCTCGTTTAGCTCCTGTGTGTATTGCATAAAATGCATTTTCAATTTGAAAATACCAACCATAAAATTAAACAAGAAAGCTACTGACTTTTTTAATGTATTAACTTAAAATAAAATGAAAGAATAATGTGAAATATTAAGTTTAAATGTGAGAGTAACTAGAAGAATGTAAACAATTTATTCGCTGAGGGTTGAATGATTTATCATAGAGAAAAGTAAATATATAAATTGAAAAGAAAGGTGAAAGGCTCAGAACAAGTTTCTATTTGTTAAATAATCGCAGTTATTTGTCGTCAGGAAATTGAAACTTAATAAATTTTAACAGACATAATTCCCTGGCTATTATTAACATATATAAACAATATTTATTTGCTAATATGCCAGTTTCGATTTAGGAACAATTCACCAAACACTAATCATGGCTGCTTTTGAAAAGGAATGATTCATTCTGAATAATTACACTACAGTTTGTTATACACTTGAACTTACAAAGTAACAATTCTTTCTGGTTTAAAAACCTGTTTATGTTGAAGTGCAAATTAGAGATAACGCAGAACTAAACTTTGAATTAATGTTTCTTACACTTCTATACTATTACATACACTGCGTACCTCGAATGTGAACACAACGAAACTTTGGTTGACAGCATATTTTCATTCTATTATCATATCAATTCTAGTTCATTTATAAATGTCTAGGGGGCTAAATCGAATTCAAAAAATAAGAATATAATTCCAGAATTTTCTCTCATCTCACCATCAGTTAGCTTAAATGTTCTGCTTTATTGTACTTTCGCATATCATGCAAATTTATTCAGGGCTGTTTATAACTGCCAGTTGGACGTGATTGGCCAATCGGTAAATGTACGCTAATTAAAAATGAGATTAAATTAATAATTGAAAGCGTATAATATGAGCCTGCGTGCATCTTGTTTCAAAGAAAACGGTTTTAAGCCTGGTCGTAAGCATACATCTATAAAGGGGAGTGCGGGCGTTGGCAGAAATCTATAAAGAGGGTATAAAGAAAGTCATATTGAGAGGAGTATGACCCTTCGGAAAAATGTTTGTGATTTTAATTAAACATGGTGTACTTTGATGGTATCTATAGCTATTTTATACATATATGGGTAACCTTTAGGGGTTGCAATCGCACCTTACGCACCCCCATTTCCACCCCTGCCTATTCAAATGATAAGGTCAATTTCGGATCATTCAGTTTTCTTTGAATATAGACATTTCCATTGCAATAAATTTCTGTGCTACACTAACCGTATTAGAAAGTAAGATTTACTCGTTCCCTAGTAATGAATTGCCCATCGAAGAGTAAGTAGACTTGTACTAAAAGCTCAGTTGACGCATCGAAATTAAAGTCAATCATATCTAATTGTCTCATTTTTCACACTTTTGTTAGGGTTAACGGCTAGTGAAGAAACGAGTGTTACTATTACTACTTTTGACGCTCGTTGGGTAAGTGCAATAGCAAGCTTACGTCTCATAATATGTTAATAGTTACACTAAGTCCCTCTGGTTCTTTGGTAACGTCAGAGAAACCCCATAAGTAACAAAGAAAAATTAGCCTGTTTCTGGCTTGACGCTTCTCCGGAAACTCTAGAAGAAACATCGTCGTTGGTTCGTGAGTACGCTAGACAGGGACAACCAGTGGGGAGCACGAGGCTCAAGGTGGACACTTGTGTTAAGATGACACCCGTGGTGCTGAAAAATTGCAGCCGTGTGATTGGTGTAGCTTTCTTACCACGCCTGCTCAGGTAGTGAGGTCCAAATTCTAGGAGAGAGCGCCCACATCCTGCATTCGATCTATATAACGCGCCTCTCTATCTCTCTTCGGAGAGCTAACACAACGAGACGCCCGGCATTTCCCCGAGTTTCTTTAGCCATTCATTTTTCAGAGCAGTTACAGCAATGAGTCCTAGCAGACGCGTACTGTCAGTAGCATTTCTTCTGCTATTATTCATGTATCTTCCTCGGACAGCTCTCTCTCGGTCGGTCACTTCATCTTATCACCCGCCGGACAATGGAAACGACACGAATGCTTTAAACAAGCTTTTGCAAGTGTTCGGAATGGAGCATCCAGGTCGACGCGAGCGACATGCTGCTCCTCCGCAGTTCATGCTTGACCTGTATAACGCCATAGCGGACAGTAGAGGAGAAGTCACAAGAACAGCTAATCCATACAGTGCAAAGATCATCCGCAGTTTCCCCGATAAAGGTGAGAATAACCCCTTTTTCTATTAATATCCATCTAAATGTTCACGTTAATGTCCAAAAATATCAGTTACTATCAATGATAATATCTTACTATCTATCAGAGAGTTGATGCAATTATACAAATGTAATGAAACGTTCACGTAAACTTCAATATTTAATTATTCCCTACTCTTTAATTTTCTTTCCTCTTATTTGCTAAACATGTGTTTCAAAGGCTTGAGTCCAAAACTATACAAAAGATAACTAAATTGCGTGTCGTTTGACCTTAAACATTTCTAATTATTCATGTTCGCTTTTCGATTTAAAAAACAACATTTGACCTTGAAATAGTATTCAAGTAACTTTGTTTCAGTGGTGAACTTTGCGACATTATTTCTACGGAAGACATTTTTATTAAAAGAAGAAACACAAGGATAATGTTGTTGCATCTTAACAGGTTAACAATATATAAAGTACAACCTCAGTACGAATAGCTTTTAACGTGTGGTTTTAATACATTTTAAAAACAGGACGCGGCCTACACTTGTTGCCTAGCAACGTTATATTTCTCTTGTACTACAAGCAGTAGGTGTTCATATGGTCTCTTAGAGCTTATGTTTCTGTAAATATGATCATAAGCTTTACTGGTGTTATGGTACGGTTATTTGTTATCAAAGCTCTCTGTATGTGGTGTGGATGTTGTACGTGTGGGGTGCTTCGATCTTTACGTAACTTCCGGTTGTTTGGTACATGTAAAAAACTTTTGTACGAGACTAACTTGAGCTACACAGTTTCTAAGCCGTTCTTGTTAAACGAAAACAATCAAACAAACAAAAAGAAACAAGAATATGTTTGCTGTAAAACTGTGAAAATGTCTATTTTGGAATTCGTTTTAGCTGCAGGTTTGTAGTGCTATCGAAGTCTTTATATTTCACAATATAGCACATTTTACAGAAGTTGCAATTTAAGCTTTGCTATAACACTTTCTGAAATAAACACCACTTTTGGCAAATTTGCCTTTGTATGTGCACACACACACACACACACATATATATCTATGAATTAGACAAATGGGCTGGACGTGGCCTAGTGGACAGTGTTTTCGATTTATGAATCCGAGGGTTTATGGCTCTCAGCCCGTTGAAGCAAAAACACGCTTGACATGCTTGCGTGGGCATTAAGAATGAACTATCAAATTCCTCTATTCAGTTACACCAGAGCACTTCAAAAATGGTAGTAGGTGATACTGGGTAGCTGCATTCAGTCTAATTAAAAATTAGGGACGACTATGCGCAATTAGCCCTGTGTATATCTTTGCGTGAAAAATTCTGAAACAAACAAACGATTTAGATAAACGTTGTTTAATTAAGTATTCATACTCCAAGAGAATCGTCTTACTTTTATCCTTCAATGGGAATACGTTCTGAGAAAAACAAATAACCTTTGAACTTTGTATTCGCTAAAATAATTAATGAGAGAAAAATATTTTTAGATAAAGAGATATTTTTGGATAACATATGGTATGTTTATATGTTATACTTCATTCCCTGTTATATATGAGTTACCGCTCATATTTCTTTTAGATGCGTTCTGTTTTAAAATGTATAAATCAACAAGATCTACATAGGCTAAATTTGATTCCAGTGGAGTAACAAAGAGCTTGAAAATATTATAGCATTTTGAAGCCGTTTAATCTATAAAAAAACACAAACACATTATTTTTGCACGCCCTGAAACGTCATGATTTGAAATTTTATCCAACTCTTAATATTCTCGTCGAATGGTGTTTATTTTATAGAGAGTAATGGATTCTTGTTTCCAGGTGCGAGTGTTGAGTTTTAAAAGATAACACTTTGAGAGTTATTGAGGCTATTACTTGGAATGTGACTGAAAGAGTAATGCAGTTGATTACGTCATTTAATTATCAATTGAAAACGTACTCGACCTAGTCTTAAAATTAATTATGGTGTTTCTGCGTTTAAATGTATAAAGAAAATCAAACAGGTTTAAGATCTCAGATCAGGAAAGATCCTATATAAATTAAGCAAGTCTTTAGATACTCTTCTTAAACATAAGCTATAGTTGTTAAATATAAAACAATATTTTAGTTATTCATTATATTTTAGTTATTCATTTTGTTTTATATTTAACAACTATAGCTTATGTAATAAATAACTAAAATATTGTTTTATATTTACCAACTACAGCTTGTG